AACTCCTGAACAACTTCTCATTTCGGTAAGTAAAGTGTAATTATATTCTTCAATCGGTAGTATGTTAATTCTTTATATGTTTAGATGTGTGGCTATGGATATTTTTTTTTTAATATGTCAAGTTGTTGTGTACTGGTAAGGATTTTTTTTGGGTATGCTCGTATTTAGATGTTATGCTGTCGAATTTTTTGCTAAACTTTTGTACATAATCAATTTCAGGCTGATTTGGAGCGAGTTTATGATGAGACCATGCGTGATGGAAGTGACGAAAGCACGGCCAACTCGACTGCAATTGAAAAGGTTTTGAGAAAGAGTAAAGGCCTTGGAATTAAAAGTTCAAGCACAAGGATTGGGAAGTCGAGATTTTCTTCAACACCATCAGACGTGGAGATTCAACTGGAGATTCAAATGAAGGCAATGCAAGAACAAATGCAAATGAAAGACGAACAAGTGAATCGATTGGAGCAACAATTGAACGAAAACAGAGAAACAAATAAAGTTAAAGATGAAAAAGTTGATCGATTAGAACAGCAATTGCAGGAAACCCGAGCTCTTTTGAACAACTTGCTCGAGCGTTTTAATGGTGGAGTATAAAAACGAGATGAAATTAGTGTGCCTCTTGAACTAATACATTTATGGTTTCAAGTTTTTATGTAATTTTTGAATTGATGTTTGTGTTGTATTTTGATATTTAATTGGTAATCGTGGTTTTTAATATTTTTGAGTAATTTTTTTTTTTTTTTTTTTTTTTTTTTTTTTGACAGGGGATTTTATTTTGTAATAAAAAATAATTAAAATAAATAAATTAATAAAAAAAAAAAAGTTTGCGACGAAATCTAGTTCAGTTTTCGTCGCCACAAAAAATAGAACCGGGCGACGAAACAACTATTTAGTCGCCCACATATTCGGTGAACTTGCGACGAAATAAACAAATTCGTAGCAAATACATGGGACGATATTAATTTTCCGTCGCTAACAATAAAAAAATAAATTTTTTCAGAAAATACGGTTTTCGCGACGAATGGATGGTTTCATCGCCAAGCTTTGCGTCGCAATTGGATTTTCGTCGCTGACTTTGCGACGGGGCAGTACGCGACGATTTTTTAATGATTTGGCGACGAAATTAAATCGTCGCTAACGGCGAAAAAACGTCGCTACATGACGAATTTCGTCGCGAAATTTCGTCGCCAGTGTTGCATTTTGGCCTAGTGTAGCCATTTACGAGACTTGTTAGTTAATGCTTTATTTATAATTTGTTTACATAGACATATAGTGAACCGTTTATGAATAATAGACTCATAATACACGCGACAGCGGGTTATGAGTAAATTAATATCTCGGGTTAATAATCATGAATCATATATTTCATAATTGAGGGGTTTTGGGTGAGCAATTCTTGCATACACTACTAGAAAAATGGTTTTAAGTGACGCCTAAATGACCCCTTAATATGACGTTCCTTAAAAAACGTCTCAACAAGTGCTCTTTTAAGACGCCTTAAATTACACGCGTTTCTTAGTTCCGTGTTTTTCTTTTTCTTTTTCTTTTTATATAGGGGGAAGATAAAATCCTAGGTCCGTTTTTATTCATATTTTCTCGTGTTTAAATTGCTTTCATAATTAGTTTAATTATTTAGTTGATTAAATTTGACAACTTTGCGTAGGCTGGATAAAAATAATAATTGTTAGAATATGGTACTTAGGATTAGATAATTTGAGTATTCCCTGTGGGATCGACATCCGACTCTTACGAGTCCACTTTTACTACTTGTTTGCGATAAGTGCACTTGCGTGTTAGGTATTTAGCAGCCCAACAACATGATTCTCCATTCCTAATTGTTGTAAAGTAAACAAAAATAGCACCACTCCATCAATTCTTGCTGCCGGTTGCAGATCCGTTTCTCACCGTCGCAAAACTTGAAAAACTTAGATTTATTAAACGTGAGAGGAAAATAAAGAAACAAAGCGTAAGAAATAAGAGGTTGGGCGACACACAATAATAGAGAAAGAGAGAGACAGAGAAGGGGAATAGGTAGGGACGCGGAAAAGAGAGAGAGGAGAAGAATGAGAGTGAGAGAAAAACATAACTTATATTAAAGGTATTTTTGGTTAAAAAAAATTAAAAGGATGTATGTCAATTTTTGTTTTTAATTAAGGATTTAGTTAAAATATTCTATTTGAGGTTGTCCCCTACATCTAATTAGGTTTCATATTAGGGGGTGTCAAGCATATTACCATTAAAAAAATATAAAATATAAAATATAAAAACCAACAAAAATGACAATTAGCAGTTAATTCGAATTTGTCAGAAAATTAAAGACGAGGCCACCAATTATCGTCGGGCTTTTTCTTGAGAAAAAATTGCATTTTAAAAAAATAATATAATATAGGTAAAAAAGCTATATTTTTATTTTATTTTTTATTATTAATGAAATTTTCAATATTAATATTTATTTTTTAGGGCTCATTACAAATAAGCCCATCAATGAGTACTTATTCATAAAAAGATTTAGACAAAAAACTCATTTATAAATAAGTCCACACATGGTCCAGATTTTTGTAAAAGACTAAAATTGCCCCTCATACTTTAATATGCTCCAATTTCATCCTTAATTTAATTTAACCTCAATTTGACCCTATTTTTCACAAATTATTCAATCTTGACCCAAAACGTTTTTTTTCAATTTTTTTTTTGTTGTCGTATTCCGGCGTTGACTTTTCGATTTTTTCTTTTTGATTTCTTTTTTTCTTTTTTCTGTAACATTTTCTTTTCTTCATTTAAACATCAATATTGCTGTGATTGATAGTAATATTAACTATATTACTGTTAAACACAGTAAAATTAACTATACTACAGTTTAACACAGTAATATTGCTATATTAATCTCTAGCACAATAATATTAACACAACAAAACTCATTATTATTGTGTAATAGAGTAATATTACTACATTGACTGTTCAACAGACAAAATAATAATATTGATGTGGTTGACAGCAATATTACTATAACAACAATAAGATTACCGTCAACCACAGTAAGATTATTGTGTTTAGAGTATGAATAACTCAAACAAAACAAAAAATCCAAAAAAATAATAATATTGATGTTGTTGACAGTAATATTATTGTGTTTATAGTTATTTTATTGTCAACGACAGTAATATAATTACATTGACTTGTCAACAAATCAAACGAAATAAAAATAAATAACAAAAAATAAAAAATAATAATATTACGTTAATTTACTGTCAACGGCAGAACAATTACATAAATGTATTGTCAACGGCAGTACAATTACGTTAATTAACTTCCATTGACAGTATAATTATATTAATTTACTGACAGTGACAACACAATTACGGTCAACGTTTGACGGCGGACCTTAAAAAAAAAAACAAAAAGGAAAAAAAAAAATTAATAAATAAATAAATACTTAAAAAAGTCAGATAAAAAGTTGTCTTATTTTTTTCGTTGCCGTTTCTATCCAGAGTCCATTTCACTATAGTTGACAAGTCAGAATGAGCTGTACTTTTGGATGAAGGCGAATTTAATTGGCTGTCTCAAAGAATTCATATTAATTACAATCAAGGACATAAGATTAACCCTACTTCATTTTCACCACTATATTTATGTTTTTGAGTCTGAAATCATCAATTGATCATGCTACACCCCCTTCATACATAAGTATTCCACTGCATTTGGAAAATGTTGTACACAAGTAATGCTTATGACACAATTGCACAAATGCAATTGGTTTTTAAGTGCTCCGATCCTTATACGTAATTTATTTTGTTCAGTCTAACCGTTAAATTACTTTTAGTATAAAATTTATGGAAGTTATAAATATAAAGTGGAAACGAAAAAAGCAAAAATCATCCGCCCGCAACGGCATTATACATAATGCATCCTAAAAAAACGCATTAATTATATCGTATATAGAAACTTTTGAGACAAATGCAATATATTAATTATGTTTATACTTAGACGTGTATAGCGAGATATATATATATATATATATATATATATATATATTAATTATGTTTATACTTAGACGTATATAGCGATACGTATGTATATAATCGGGCACACAAAGATTCTCATGATCCTACAAACACCTAGCCACGAGTTACATATATAGAGCAAATATATAATTTTATCCTTGATTACATTATAAAAGGCAGTTTCGATTAATGTACGTAATGATTACGTCTATAAGAATTGCGCACTCGCATTGAATTTTACAATTAAGGAATTCGAAAGAGAGAATACGGTGTGCCAGATAATAAAGATAAACTTATAAATTATTTTTCCGTCTAGCATGAATAGATCAAAGATCTATTTTAGCTTAAATTAAGTTTTCACGTAAACCGAATGGTTAAAAATAAAGAAAGCGCCTCAAAGAAACAAATACAATAAAGGAACAAACAATTGAATGAAGTCAGTATAGATCCGCGTAATGCTAAGTTAGAAGACATGCTTTAATTTTGACATAATATTGTTTTTAATATAAAGAAAACGATCACAGAAACGGACACGATAAATGAACACACAACTTAATAAAGTTACGTGTGATCGTAATAAACGGACACGATAAGAGTAAACAACTAATAATTAAGGATTATTATATCTTAAATTCAAGTTGAAAATTTTCCAGAACATTTTCAAAAAGCAACTTATCTCCCTTGTCCCTTGCTCTAATTTTCACTAGAAAATACTTGAAGGGGCTAAATCGTCACTAAAATATAATTCAGGGACCATGGTGCAAATGGACAACCAGGAAAAATAATTGACCACCTTATATATAAATAATTGCCTCATCATTACCAACATCCTCTCTGTAGGGTTTTCATTTCTATTTTTTCAGACAAACAAAACACAAATCAGCAGCAGCAGCAGCTTTTCTTTCACGCGCCGTCGTAGCTTTGTCTCCATCCCCACCGTAAAACCCTTCCAACTTTCCGACCACCTTAAGAAAAGCAAAAAAAAAAACAGAAGCAGCCATGAAAACTGATCTTGAATTCCAAACCAGCAGAAATGGCGGCGTCGGCCAAGATCCAACGGAGGAAGAAGACCAGCAACCCCAACAAGTGGTGGCGGCGGCGGGAGAACCACCAACCGATCTCGATTCGATTCCAGACGGCATCCTCGAAGAGATCTTCACACGGGTACCGGCGAAAACAGTGTTCTGCTGCATGGCCGTCAACACAAAATGGCTGTCAATCTTGGACAACAGAACATTCTTCAAGAGGCACCACTCTCTCTCATCGGCCCGACCGCTCGTGGTTTTCAGCGACCCGTCGGGCCGAAGATCGAACCGGGTTCTCCACCTCTACGAGGGCCGGGATCTACCCGATTACCGACCCATGCCGGCCCGTAGCCTCGGCACCCGAATCGACTTTCCAGATACGGCGAGAGGCCGGTGCACGTTCCTTCACGGCGTGAATTCTTTCGTCACCTCGTGTAAGGGTTTGGTCTGCTGGGCGACTCACCGTGGGGCGGGCGACGTCGTCCTTTCGAACCCGATCACGGGCGAGTACGTGTTGGCCAATGCCCACGCGCGTGGGATGAACAGCCTCAGAGAGCTGGCTTCGGTTTTCGTGGGCGTCGGGTATAGCCGCGAGACGAAGACTTTCGAGCTCTTGAAAATGATTCTCGCGTTGGAAGACGACCCCGTCGACTACTCCATGGTTTGGTATCCGGAGCTCCTCGCTCTGGGTGGCAACTCATGGAGGCCCGCCGGTGAGGCTCTACAATTCGATTTTTCTCGGATGATTTACAATTTGGTCAACGTTGACGACGGAACCATATACTGGAGGTACAAAGACGATTCCTCGATTTGCACCTTCGATTTCGACCGGACCCTCTTCCGTGTCGTGGACCTACCCGACTTCGAGGGTCCGGTTCTCAAAACAGTTAGTTTGGGAGTGTTGGACGACACTCTATGCGCGTCGTTCGCTTCTCCTGACGGTACCTATCTGGAGTTGTGGTCGGCTAAGACGATTGACAACTGTGGGGCCCGTGGTGTAGAGACGGCTTGGAAGATGCTTCACCGTATAAGTATCAATACTTCGACGGCTGTGCTTGAAAATAACGGTAGGGTTTGGAATAGGGGTGCGTATCGACCGGTAATGCATGTGGAAAACAATAAGATACTGATGCATGATCGGAGGACCAATTTCCGTTTGTACGATGTCGTGACGGGGAGCGAGACTGTGTTCCCTCTTCTGGAGGACATAAACGATAATGACGAGGATGCTGACGATGATGATGATGATGGGCATCCGGTCGCCGTGCAAGTGGTTTCTCTTGTACCCAACATTATTTGCCTGCAGGAGACGTTGAACATACAGGAAGGCAACATTAGGGTTTTGCGCACCGAATCGAGGTAATTCATTTCGATTTAATGAATAATTTTCTATTAAAGCTACTGATTGAGCTACTGACTCACACACACACACACACACACAC